TCTCCTCCTCTGGCCCTGCCCCTCCTCCGTCGAGGCCTTCGTCGTCTTCAGCCAAGATGGCAGCAGGTACATGTCAACTGCCGAGCTCGTCCACTCCATGTCACGCATGGGGATTCCCAACTGTTACACCAAGCTCACGTATATGATGTGGATGGGTCCGCTTTGACGCCGCTGCAGACATCCCACCCCTCGGGCGAGCAACAACATCAGGCCGCCGTCGCTGCCTACTTGACGCCAAATACGATTCTGTTACTTATTCATAAGGTAGCAGGCTGCTAGCTAGGTACTCACTGAAACAAGACCAATTGATACATTTTTTTAATATTTTATTGTTCCAATAGTAATTATGTTCATCATCAGGTAAGCCAGATTTGTATAGTTGGTGCTAGGGATGACAAGGGCTGATTCACTAGATATTCTCTCCTGTATAGTCTCTTTGGTGGTGACGTGCTACACTAGCTGTCATAGTGAATTAATATGTAGGTCGCACACACCTTTGTGTTGGTTGCTCAATAGAGCAAAGCAAAATAGTTTTTTTTATTCTGACTCATGAGTCAACACTTTTGGATCCCAAAAATATTCAGATGTAGGGTAAGTGCTGACATGTGAGAGTCAGAAATTTATAATGTGACTTATAATGTTCTTTAGTTGCTCAATTCATGTATTTACGGGCTTTATCTTTCATGCCGGCTTTTTTAAATATTATATAGGCAGTCACTTAGCAGGTTGAGCCCTCAGCATGTTCTGTTCGTGCTGATTTACTTATAAACATTTCATTTTTATTTGATTGGTGCTCTTTGAAGTATGTAAATTCTGTTTGTGGTTTTTTGTCCAGGTAAGTTCAGGCACACAACAAGGAGTAAGGTTGGAAAAAATAATCGTTGTGATGGTAAAGAAAATATTATGTTTTTTTAATAAATGACTACAAAGTTTGAAAGATTTTTTTGCGAGGAAAAGATTTTTTTTTTAAGATTTCGATGAGATGCTTGACAAGACAGGAACAATTAACTAGATGTGTATCATTAGTACTACACTAAAAGTGTTTTAGTGATGTTTCCATGGATCTTGGTTAAGATCAAAGTTTGCATGAACAGAACGTGTTTTGCAGATACAATCATCACAAAATTTGAATACAATTCTGTTATTTCTCCCGTTGCAACGCACGGGCATATGTACTAGTATACGTATAAATTTGGTCTGGCGTGACCCCGGAAGAAGAGCGAAAACCACGCGGCGGAGGAGACAAGCCGATAGGACTTTGCTTTCGTTGCTTTCGAGGCGCTTCCGACGTAACCCGGCCGAAATTCCTTCCCAGTTTCCTGACGAACCAACTCGGCCGGATTCAGGGTCGGCGCTGCCCGCCAACAGAGGAAGTTTCGCCGCGCCTTCCCCGCCAACCGAACCCGTCACACGTCTCGTCCTCCGTCGAGGAGGTCATACTACACTCGTAGTAGTACTAAACAGATGCTGTGCCGACTTGATGGTACGAAGGCATACGTATGATCAGAGTCTGATTTTGCATGGTCTACGTGTCATCGCGATCCTCTAACGTAAAGAAAGAGTAAAGTCAGGTAAGCTACAATACCTTAAATCCCTATGATTAAGACTAAAATGATTTGAATTAATTTACAAATTACAAATCTATTGTATACATTTAAAAAAATATATATACAAACAAAATTACAGTGCAATAAAATTAATTTTATATGTATTTTCGTCAAACAGTAACTAGCAGTAGATCCATACAGTATTCGCTAAAGTACTCTGACTTTCCTTCTTTGCATTGCACTAGTTTGTATTGTAGCTTACATGACTTTCCTCTTTGATGTCAGAGGATCCGATTCTGTCCCTAGCTAGTTTACCCGCGAAAAAAAATAGAGAACAGTTTTCATATCACCTCTATATTTTGTGTTGTCAGCTTCAGACTACAAAATCTAGGTTACATAAACCAAATCAAAATAACAATAATCTAGATAACAATGTTGTTTAGACGCAAACTTTACCTATACACGGATTAAGCTTTAAGAGTCGTTCACTATTGCAATTTAAAAAATACGGTAATTCTAGTTAATGGTTCCAATTTGTTTTGAGTTTTGCGGTCTGTGACTAGAAATCCACTTTTCTCCTTTTACATCTCAATATAAAGAAATGGATTTTTTTAGCAATGTTTTAAGATAGAATCCATCGAGGAGAATAATCGAACCTGGATCAAACAAAGCAGAAATAGTTTTTCCTGAAAGAATATTAAAAAAACTTTGTAGAATTATTAGCATAGCCGGAGTCACTAGGCAGGAAACTTTGTTGCATGCTACAAATTTCTACGTTAGGGAGCCCAACAAAGACTAACCACCATTAGCAATAGAGTGTCATAGTCACCATTATCAGCACCGTCGTTCAAATCTAGGAACCGACCACCTATTATTCAAAATCTACCAGCCACACTACCTCACACCTATCAAGATGCATCCCAACATGGCCCGTCGATGCAGTAACAACTATGGGCAAGGCCGATAGAGCAGCTAATCCAAGCACTATCACCAAACCAGGGGCACTAGGAGGCGAGGTAGACTAGGGAGGGGGTTGCTATGGACGAAACCCATATCTCTGTAGGATCAGCCATGATGACAACTCCCGCACCACGAGTGTCTCCCACACAAGCCATATCACTGCCCTCATAGCCGACATAACAAATCATCACCAGCAGATAGGCTGTCAACATGCCCACCACCTAGAGCATCACTATGAAGGCTGAGAAGTCAACCTTATGCGTCTTGCACCGAGAGGCACCGCATATGCGTAGCTGGTCAGCCTTGCTGTTGTCCAACGCTCCTCCACAACTAGCACACCATCCTCTCGCTAACATTCACCCATGCAAAGACAAATGCTACACATCTCCCATTTGTGCGAATAGGCGAGGGCCACTCACACCAGATCTAGCGTAGAGGCGGTCAACAATGACTGTGCACTAACCCCCTTGGCTAGACCTAGTGGCGTGGCAATGCCTTCTCATGTCATTGCGAGGTCCGACCTCAACCCACGACACTAGCAATGGCCGAGTACAACAACGACAACCGTGACACCTGACTCCAAGAGGAGTGGCACCTCCATCAACCAGCTAGACTACCAACACTCTATTTAGGCAAAGATCAAAAATGCAGCTGTAGGTTGGGAATTGCTTCACAGTGGCCACAAAAGCGCCAGTCCATGCCCACTAGCGGGTGACGGCGGCAAGAAAGGAGTAAATGGCACTGGCGGTCTGAGAACTTGCGCTGCGGGTGCACTTAAGTCACGATACTTGCAAACCGGAAAAATCCGTCATAGAACTTGCATTGTGGGTGCAGATAGGTCACATATGCCATCTGAACCGCCCAGCTGCCCTATTTTCGCGAAAAACCCGTCACAGAACTTGCGTTGCGGGTGCACATAGGTCACATTTCAAATTTTTCATTCCTGGACATTTTTATAAAGTGACGAATCACAAATATTTTTAATTTATCGTTCAGGAACATTTTTTTAAAGTCGCGAATCACAAATATATTTTTCTAAATGTTCACAACTTAAAAAAATGTTCGTGAATCACAAATATTTTTCAAATTTATCATTCGCAAACATTTTTTAAAGTCGTGAACAAATATTTTTCAAATTAATCGTTCATGAACATTTTCAAATTTATTGTTCACAAACATTTTTCAAATTTTTTGTTCCTGGACATTTATTAAAAGTCACGAATCACAAATATTTTTAATAAATATTTTTTATTTATCGTTCGCGAACTTTTTTTAAGTCACGAATCACAAATATTTTTTTAAACGTTCACAACATAAAACAAAATGTTCGGGAATCACAAATATTTCTCAAATTTATAGTTCTCGAACATTTTTTTAAAGTCATAAACAAATAGTTTTCAAATTAATCATTCATGAACATTTATCGTTCACAAGCATTTTCAATTTTTTTGTTCGTGGGCATTTTTTTAAAGTCACGAATCAAAAATATTTTTAATAAATGTTTTTTATTTATCATTGGCGAACTTTTTAAAAGTCGTGAATCACAATTTTTTTAATGTTCACAACTTTAAAAAAATGTTCGCGACTCAAAAATATTTTTCAAATTTATCGTTCTCGACCGTTTTTTAAAGTTGTGAACAAATAGTTTTCAAATTAATAATTTAAGAACATTTTTAAATTTATCATTCAAAAACATTTTCAATTTTTTCGTCCCTGGACATTTTTTTAAAGTCACAATCACAAATATTTTTTAATTTATCATTCGCAAACATTTTTTAGAGTCGCGGATCACCATTTTTTTAAACGTTCGCGAACAGTTTTTTTGAAGTCGTGAACAAATAGTTTTCAAATTTATCGATCACGAACATTTTCTTAAAGTCACGAATCACATATATTTTTAAAGTCGTGAACAAATTTATTGCGCTTGCCCGTTAGAGGGAGAAAACCGGGCAGCTGGCCGGTTCAGATGACCTGTGTGACCTATCTGCACCCATAATGTAAGTTCTATGATGAGTTTTTCCAGTTTGCAAGTACCGTGACTTAAGTGCACCCGCAGCGCAAGTTCTCGGACCGCCAGTGCCATTTACTCGCAAGAAAACCCTAGTTGCCACTTGCCACGCGATGGCGCCGTGGAAATCTCCATTAATCTCATCGTAAGATTGGATGCTATTGAAAAAGAAAAACTATGTTGAATAACTAGCGGAGAGTTTGCATGATTAGTGTTGTCATCGTTTTCGCATTTGATATGTATCTGGTCATTTTCGACGAAGAGGGCTGGCTAAATTTAATTAAACCCTCCATGATTTGTCCACCTCTCACCTTCATGACACTGTTAAAATTTAGACTAAATTGGTAAGTAGGTTTCATGCAAACGAACGAAAGAAGCCCTCAAAGCGGAGGAGGCGAATAAATCGCAGGAAAGGTAGGTCCGGGCGAACCAGTACGTTTTTCCCGCGCGAAGCTTCCTCGAAGCTCACCTCCTTCGCGTCTGCGATGACCCTTATAATTCTCCCCCGGCCGTCTACTCTTCCGCAGCTCCGCCACCATCCCCGCCTTCCTCTCTCTCTCCTCCTGTCCACTCTTTCGCGAGATACGTACGAGCCTAGGACAGCCATGAAGTTCTTCGGTTCCTCCACGTCCAAGAAGGAGAACAAGGGGAAGAAGAGATCCAAAAGGAGCGGCAACGGCGGCTCCTTCGCCTCCACCGCGTCGCCGTCGGCATCAGATGACCAGTCTGTCACAACGCCGAGATCCGTCCTGCCGTCGTCTTCGGGGCTGGCGGCACCGTCCGGCTCCGGGACGACCAAGAAACCGGCCCTGGTCGCCGTGACGCGGTTGGAGTTGGAGGTGGCGCTGCGTACGGTCGTGTCGACAGAGGAGGAGCTGGCCGCGATGCTCGCCGAGGCGGAGGCCGGCCTCGCGCTTGAGGGGATCGTGGCCGCGGAGGTCGCGGACGAGGGCGAGCTGAGGGACACATTTGCGGTGTTTGACGCTGACGGGGACGGGAGGATCTCCGCCAAGGAGCTCCGTGCCGTGTTGGCCTCCCTCGGCGACGAGCGGTGTTCCGTCGAGGACTGCCGCCGCATGATCGGCGGCGTCGACACCGACGGCGACGGCTTCGTCTGCTTCAACGAGTTTACGCGCATGATGATGCTTGCGCCGTGAATTGTTGCTGATACGTGTCCCTATCTAAATTATACTAGCAGCCTAACTACCGTTGTTCGTTCATTATTAGTGAGTAAATTAGGTTTTGTTCTTGATTTTCGATGTGGTTGTGTACTCATGGTGATGAAATCACTCGACCGGCCAACTAATCACGACGAAGAGGCCAAAATGAATATTAAGGTATGTTTGATTTGCAACTTTCTCCGAAACATCCCTCGAAATAGACTTTCGCCCCGCTTTATAAATAAGGCATACGTTCCTACAACTACAACTAAGTTTCAATCATAACCATAAAAGAAAACTACTGGGCCCATAGCACAAACACGCCCAAACGAAAGAAGAAGAAACATAAAAGGACCGCCAAGGCAAGCTACGAAGCAGACGAACGGTCCGAGAGCCGGCGCGTGGAAGACAGCAGAGTGGCCAGATAGAGCTGAAGCCGGTCACGATCTCTCGGCCTAGCGAGCGGATGCCAGTGTTGCAAGAAGGCAAGAAATCTGAAGAACGAGTCAGAAGCACGCCGCGGGAACACCCGCTCAATCACCATCTTATTGCGAATAGTCCAAAGTGTCCACATCATAGCCACGAAGATAAACCAGAACAGTCGGCGCTTACGGCCAACCTGAGTGGCCCTTACCTGCAGAAACTTTGCAAGGTCATGGGCCTCCCACTCCGGTCCCAGAGCCTCATGAACAAAGCACCAAAGTGCCTGTGCTGCTATACACGAGAACAAAATGTGCATTCCCGTTTCCGGGACGAGGCAAAGGGGGCAAAGGCCATTGCCCGGACCATGGCGTTTCAGCACCTCGGTCCCCGCAGGTAAACGATCTCTGAGAAGCTGCCACACGAAAATCTTGATCTTCAGGGGCATCGGCGCCTTCCACAATGGGGATAACCACTAGAGAACCGGTAGCCGGCATAGCGCCTGATAAGCGGAACTTACGGAGAATTCTCCCGAAGGAGAAAGACTCCAAGAAACAGTGTCAGGATCCTGGGATAGAGGAAGAGGGACTACTTCCCTCAAGTCTTCCCATTCTTGCACCTCAGCTGGTCCGAATGAGCGGCGGAACGCAATATTCCACCCTCATCCAAAGCAGCTTCAGAAACAAGAACAACCGGGTCGTCACAAATCGCAGAGCCTCGGAAACCGCATGTGGAGAGGCTCCCCATCAAGCCAGGGGGCCAACCAAAACTGGGTCCTGGACCCATTACCAACCGAGAACCGCAAACCTAGCCTAATCTCCTCCTTGATGTCCTGGATAGATTTCCAAAACCGGGACCCAGCCGAGAGCGAGCAAGCCAAGAGGGGCTGGCCCTATAGGTACTTGGACTCAATCAGCTGCAGCCACAAACCTCCATCTCCCCTTAAGATCTGCCAAACCCAACGAAGCATGAGCGCCACGTTCATACGGCGAGACGCAGGGATGCCCAACCCACCTCGGTCCTTTGGCAAGTAGATGTCAGCCCATTCACCATATGATACTTAGGCCGACCATCCCCTGCGTGCCAGAAGAACCTAGCCAGCTCCTTGTCAAAGGAACTATGCACACCTTCGGGCAAGATGTACATCCCCATCATATACATGGGGAGGCTGGCAAGGTTAGAGCTAATGAGGACAATTTTGCTTCCTTTAGACGTGAACCTACCGCACCAGGGCTCCGCACGGGGCGCTACTTGTCCCACAAGCTGATCATACCCACTCACCAAAATCCTGGACTCAGCCAGGGGCATCCCCAAGTAAGATATGGGGAATGAAGCCAATCTACAATTGAGGTTATCCGCGATCTTGTGCTGCTCAGCCTCCGAGTAGCCATGGACCACAACCTCGCTCTTATCAAAGTTAATCTTAAGTCCAGACATTTCCTCAAAGCAGAGCAAAAGGAACTTAAGATTAACAATGTCTGAGTCCGAACCTTCCACCATAATCATGGTGTCATCCGCATACTGCAAGTGGGTAACCCCTCCCCCCATCCGGAATGAGATGACTAACCACACCCTTAAGGTGGTCGGCCAGCTTGGCCTTATCTAGGATGCCCGCAAGGGCATCAACTGCAAGGTTAAAGCAAGGGGGAGACAGGATCCCCTTGCTTTACCCTCCTGGAGGCCTGGAAGAAGGGTCCCACTTCGCCATTGATGTTGATCGCCGTGTTTCCATATCTAACCAATTGCATGATCCAGGAGCACCACCGCTCGTCAAATCCTCGTCGCTGCATCACCAACCTCAAAAAGGACAAGTCCAGACGATCATAAGCCTTCTAGAAATCTAGTTTGAGGAAAACCCCATTAAGCCCCTTCAACGTGTCACCTCGTGGACAATCTCATGAAGGGCAAGAATCCCTTCATTGATCCGTCGACCTTTCAAGGACGCAGACTGAAGGGGGGTGGGCAATCCTTTCCGCCACGGGGGATAAACGGCCGCGCAAACCTTCGCAAAGATTCGCTCCAACACATTGATCACCTAGGAAGAATGTTAAAAAATGAAGTGTGTATGGGAGATTTCCAAACCTAGGAATTTAGGGGTCAAATTGAGGCGTGTTAGAGCATCTCCAGCCGTGCCCCAACAGGTTTGCCGCCGACGCCCAACAAACGGCCCAGTCGCGCCCCTAGGAGCTGGTTTTTCGCCGGTTTGGGCCAAAACTGGCGCCGACAGACCCAGACCGAACCCGGCGTGCTGGGGGGCGCCGGGGAAAGTGCTTTTGGCGTGATCGGGGATGGGCCTGTCTAGTCAGCGAGACACCGCTTCTCGTCCTCATAGACTCGGTTCCCACGGGAATAATTGCCAAGGCCGCTGCGCCGGTCAGCCTCCATTGATGCCTCACGGGCGGCGGACTGAAGACGCCACTGACACGCGTTCTGCCCGCTCCCGCCACGCGTCGCTCGGCATGCAGGCTCTCACCGCCCCCGCTTCAACTATAAAAGCCGGCCTCCCCGCTGATGGACACCACAATCGGCACAGCTCGCCTGGTCTCCCACCTCGGAGAGCAACTCTCCCCCCTCTTCCCCGCCGACGAGCAATGACTGAGCGGTACCTCGTCGACTTCACGGTGGTGAACGGCTTCGGCCGACGCCATCTCCACGAGGACGAGGCGCGCCTCCTCTATGAATCCGACTATCCGGCGCCCCCGGACATGTAGGTGTCGGGCTCGTGGAAGCTGAGCGCCGGCGGCGTCCCGGTACCACCGGTGCCCTAAGGGGCTGCACGGCGGGCAGAGATCGCCCGCATCCGCACGTCGCTACCGGAGGCGCAGCGGAACGAGCCGAGGTACGCCATCGACAGCCACGCATTGTGGACGATGTTCTTCGAGCATCGCCGTGAGGAGAAAATCGCCTCCGCCAATGGCACCATCCCCCGTGGTCGCCTCAATGCCGACGGGCCGCACCCTCGAGGCCGTCCTCGACCACATCGAGACCGGCAACACGCCGCACCTCGAGTACCCGCCGCGCCTGTCGTTCTCTCGCCGCCATGGCAGCTCCTGGACGCCGCGACGAATGGAGCCGGGGACGTCCTCCTTGTCGGACTCCGGCTCGCTCTCCTCCGGCTCGCCGGTGCTCCGCCCCGTCAAGACGGAGCCGGAAGAGGAGATGCCGCTACGTCGCCGCACCCGCAGTGGTGCCCTCGTCATCAACGAGGGTGCCCACCTCCCCGCGCTCTCTCTGCCTGGTCCGGCCGAAGACCGAGCCGGGGCTGCTCCCCATGAAGCCGGAGCACGCGGATATGCCCGCCGCCGACGAGGCCACCCTCAAGTGGGCGAGGGATGACTACGTCCACGAGAAGGTGCTCCGCTAGCACCTGGCATACGCGGAGCTCCAGGCCCAGCGTCAGGCTGCGCGCCGCGGACGTGAGGAGGGCGGCATCGTTGTCCTCGACAGCGATGAGGAGGACGAGGCCGGTCCATCCAACCCCGCGTGCATCGGCGACCCTAGCCAGGGGTCCAGCAGGGACGACGGTGGCTCCGGCGGGGCGCGCGACGACGACGACGACGCCCATTTCTACAAGCTCCTTGGCATGTAGAAGGCGGCCGGCGGCCGCGGTGTAGCAGTAGTTTGCATGTTTAGGCGTAGTTTAGGCGTACTTGGCATGTTTATCTGGTTTTGTATAAATTTCTATGAAATATCGCCGAGTTTGTGTCAGGTCGCCGAGTTTGTACAGATTTATATGAAAGATCGCCGAGTTTGCGCAATTTTGGCGGCGACCTGGGGGCGACAACTGGGAACGCAATCGCCCCCAACGCGCCAAGAAATGCCGGTTCGGCCCCAGGCGGCTCTTTTTCGGCGTCTTGGGGGCCGAACGGCTGGAGATGCTCTTACCATACCTCAAGAATTTCCGATCCAAGCATGGATCGTCATAAAAGTAAAATACAATAGTTTTCTTAGAGCATTATGCGTTTGTCCTAGTCGACATCAAAATAAAACAATTTCTTTTATGAGATTTTTTGTGAGGATAATTTTCAATCTATTTAGCAACTGTCAAGGTAGTACAAAGAACACCAGAAGTAAAAAGTACATCTAGTTTCGTAGTCCACTACCGATGTCTAGTAGCACTGGAGCGAGCCGTTGCCGTCTTCGCTCCTCCCTCATCAGAGCCGGGCAACCCTTGTTGTATTAGATAGTAGGGAAGTTGTCGTGCTAAGGCCCCATAGGACCAGTGCACCAGAACAGCAACCGCCGCCGATGAACAGAAGTATAGATCGGAAGGATCCAACCTGTAGACACACGAACACAGATAAAGGAAGACAAGATCCACGTGGATCCATCAAAGACAAACACTGACCGAATCCCATGAGATCCACCGGAGACAAACCTCCACAAGCCTCCGACGATGATAGAAATACCATCGGGACAGGACAAGGTGGGGAGAATCTTATTCCATCTTCAGAGAGCCACTGTCGTCTCGCCTCTCTCAGTAGGACACATACCCTAACAAAACTCAAAGAAAAAATGAAGCCCTCCCGCTGGGCAGGGTCGGGATCCACCACGCCTCTATGGCCCCTAAGACCACA